TACGAATAAAATAAAAGACAGGAGAGCGAGTATTTGGTTCACACATGGTGAGGTCAAGATAAAACTACAATTCCCAGTTTGACCATTGGTTTTCCTCTAAAGCTGATCTTCCTCCAAAATTTAAGGATTACTGCGGTGATCGCATGTTTACTATTACTTCAATGACATATACTGACTAACAAAATGCAGCCCCAAGAATGTTTTTAAGAATTTGCTAACCAAAAATCATAAAATAATACTTTCAAATACTATTAAATAATTACATGACAAACCTTTACTTTCATAAAGGATTGTTATTGATGCAAGTTTAGAATATTTAAATATGAGGCCAAAACACCATACAAAAAATCAAAGACTGACCATGCGGCTCACTACATCTTCAGCATGTTGGACTAAAATCATACCTTCAGAAATGACATGCTGCTCCATGCAACCCACAGAATGTACTCACGTTAGAAAAGTCAAAAGACCTCACATTATCAAAAAATATTATACGGACAAAGACCTGTTTAAACATGTTGGCAACGGGGTCCAATCCTTTTGGAATGTTGTGGAAGAGCCTGTATATCCTGGAAAGATCCTCCACCTGATACTCCATACAGAATCCAAAGGGTGGCATAAATGTAAGATATTCCTTATTGCCTAGTTTCGACATAATTTCAACTAATGGAACAAAGTAAATAGTACCTTATCATCTCTAAGCAATGCACGGCATCCAGAATGCTCCTTCTCCAACAAATAATTGGTATATACCACCAACAATTCATTTTGTACTTTCTACAATTGAAAATAGAGACCGTGAGCAAGAGCAGCTAGCACATAGATGATTTATGAGAAAATAATGACAATCAAGGTATGTAAGCTTCATGTTCAGTAAACAAGCCTTGTCGTCTCTAGCATAAACCAAAATGCCAGCATCACAATGTTAGAATACACACTGCGAACTCTTTAATAATTTTAGATCAAAGTTCTACTGCCAAGGCACCAAATAAGTGTGAGTGCAAGAAAAGGCAAAGATACAAAACCAAATGAATATCAGAAGATAGACCTTTTAATAAAGATACAGGTATTTGCTGTGCATATAACAAGAAGTTCTTTCCATAAGAATATCAAAGCACATCTAATATACAATTTATGCGAGATTGAAATTAAAGCAAAAATAGTAACTTAGAATGCAAACCTCCAAAAGCTTTGTCTCACTGCTGGAGTGTAGATAATGAGATACTCGGTCCTTCTCCTTCTTCAAGCAATCCTCTGCCTATAGACGAAGCAAAGATTAAATGAACAACAAATTACTATTTATGCTGCAATGTAGTAAGAGAATCTACAGGTAATATTGCCTTCATCATGTAATCTGGACAAGAATCTTCCACAATCCAGTTTGATGCTTTTCTTGAATAAAATGCAGCAGTATCTTGAAGCATGACATCTTCAAAGTCATTTTCATAGTAATCCATCTGCCCCATTCCGATTTCAACAAATATATCCAAAATATTCTTGTTTTTTGATCTTGCAAATTCAAATACTTCATTATCACCTTTAGATGACTGAAAACAAGGCCGTTGATGGAAGTTTAAACTTGCAAAGTTTTGCAATAAACGTATGTTGCTCAGCTTTGTTTCAATTTTTATTTGATCCTGAAATCATAGAAGAAAAATGTGATAAAATAATTAATAGACTGTGATCAACAAAAAATTGATAAACAGAGTAATGCATATAAAAGGGCTTTGTTAACCTTCTTATTTATTAAAAAGTTGAATTGTTCGTCAAATAACTGTAAAAGCATGGAACAGATATACTTCATAGAAGTTGACAGTGTGGTAACCATTCGTGAATAGTATGGCAATAGGTCAAGAGATGTCCTAGGACTATTGAACAAAGCTCTTAGAAGCTTTTTCCCGTTGGCCTTCGAGTTTAAATAGCAAAACTCTACCTGATAAATTAGTATTCTAATAATAAGAGTTTCAATTAAAAATGTATTTGTTACAAATGAAAAGTAATATACATGAAAGCTTGAACAAGAAGGATTGTTAGTCAATTGATGAATCAAGTCACGGCTCACAGAGCTTGCTTTAAATGTCATTTCCATAACATATCTGCAAGATTATAATTGATCACCAAGGATTACAAATGCCATGCCAGCGACTAAAACTGTTTGAAATGGCTGGAATCTGGCAACAAAAACCGGTCCTCCTTTCTGAATACACCAGGTTTGAAGAGCAATGACTATCCCAGAAGATATAATTCCTTGACATGAACTCAAAGGTTGTAGAGCTTCTACTGGAGAAAAATTACAAGTAAACCATAAGCAATTTAGTTTGAAGATATTACAACATATAAGATTGTGAATATCTCCTCCCCAGAATGAATTTATCCTCAAATTCTTCAAAACACATTTTGCCTGAGTGGTTCAAATTATAGTAGATTTTGTTTGCAATGAGAAAATACTCTTGATTAAAGAAGTGGTTCAATTAAGAACATACAATTGCCTACATGAAATTGTCCATTACCTTTGCCCAGTCAATAGAAAAGGGATCCTTCACATTTTGGTTTTCAATAAGAAAATCTACCACAGGACCAGGCCGAATTAATACGTCTGCAAACAGAAAAAAGGATAACATCATAAATAAAAGATTTCAACGAAATTATCGAACAGGAAGGCGATTTAGTTAAAATGAGTATCAAAAGAAAAAATATGCATATAAAATATTTACCTATGTTCAGAGACAAGCCTCCCTGAGAGATTTGAAAGCTCGAGTGGAATCCTTGACAGCCAAGAACTCCTCCAATGTCAGTGTAATTCATCGGATTATTGTCAAAGAATGATTGACGACCAAGTAGGCAACCTCTGACATTGAACATTATGGTTAAGTACATATCAAGCCATAACAACTTTGAGTGATAAATGTGTGCATAGTTAAAAATATGCATACAAAATATTTACCTAAGTTCAGAAACAAGCCTCCCTGAGAGGTTCGGAAGCTCGAGTGGAATCCTCGACAGCCAAGAACTCCTCCTCCAACGTCAGTGAAATTCCTCGGATTATTGTCGAAGAATGATTGACGAATAAGTAGGCAACCCCTGACATTGAACATTATGGTTAAGTACATATCGAGGCACAACGAATTCGAGTGACAAATGTGTTAAGAGTGTCGCACAGGTAATCATGAACCTTATATATTATCAGCTGGGCAGAATGGAACCTCATAATATAAAAGTTAAAAAAAAAATCCAAACATCAATAATAATAAAGTCAGAGCTAATATTTTCAATAACAGAAAATATTTATCCACAAAGAAAAACAAAAGTAGAATGAAGAAAGACAATGATGATAAGAAATAAGAAATTGTACATCCAATAAAATCATGCTACCAATTTCTTAGGACATTCCAAGGGCGAGACCAGTTTTCCCGGTACGAAGAGGACCAGCAAGTAATAATGCACATTTACCCATCTTTTTTTGGCATATCATATCGACCACAAGGGCAGCAGCTTTCCTCATTGATGACTGACACAAATTCAGCAGAGAAAGGTATTGCTTTTCCATTTGGCTACAAGAGAATCAGCCAAAAACAAAGTAAATTCATTTTATTTCTTTGCTCGGTTATGTGAAGACAGATAAGCATGAATTCACATTTTAAGAAACAAGAAATGGAGACGTGTTGGACTTCTGTGCACCGTTGTTGTAAAGCCTTGAGACACCTTTAAGAAGATGACCTCATGAAAACTACAATGAACATGTGCCCGAATTTTAACAAATAAATACAACTATCCTATGTGTAAGAATTCTGCATAAGTTCACAACAAGACTATAAGAATGAGAAATGTATAAAGTTCAAAAACTCTCATGCATTGTAACATTGTGGAGTTAGCATAGCAACTGGAGTGGTAAACTCAGGTACTTTGGTGTGTGGGCATCAAATTCTTTATTAGTAGTGGCAGCAACTTAGCCAGTGTTCTCAAGGACAAGTAGGATTCATTACATACATAAGCAAAGAAATTGTACGGCATAAATAAAATATCATCCTAATCAAACCAATGGAAGAAGAAAACTGAGTTTAATTAGATTAGTAAAACAAGACTTGCTCACTATGACCTGAAGGAAATAAACCACATGACTTCGAATTGTCGCAGGGACACCAGAGGACCACAAAGGCATGCCATAGCTTAGAATTGAAGCACTTTTTCTTCACTTCCTTAACTTACTGTCAACAAAGAATTACTCATCAATCACAATGTAACTTATTTATTTATTGGTTTCCCATAAATTTGCAATAAAACTCAGTTTGAGAATTTAAGCATCTAGTAATAGAAAGTAAACATTGAGGATGCATAACGAACATTTGTACCACCATTAGGCTTAAAAATCCTCGCTATAGTCTAGGATTCATAGAATTTGAATATATGACGATCATCCCACCTAACAATTTGATCATAAAGGACACTCTCATTACACATTATGGAAAACTTATAAAATTAAATATTTCACAGTTGAACTAAACTTAAATCCTGTAAGGTTTATATTGTACGAAAATGATCAAAAATTCATATCACATAAATTATCCAGGAGAAATGGAAAATTAGCAAAAATGAACTTGCTATAAAGACAATCAACTAAATCTATAAATTCAAAATTATCCTCAAAAGCACATTAAATTTCTTCAGTCACTGAACAAAATTGCTAAATAATTATTTATAGGTAATTGAAATAGAAAATTAGAGATCTTCGAAATTGAGAGAAAAAAATAAGAAGAGAAGATAAAGGAATAGGTAATACAAATATGTTCTACTAAATCATTACATTTCATTCGAAATCATGATTATAGTTAAAAGTGTAACACTAATCTGCATTCATCATTCAAAAGTCAGAATCACACTAACACGGTGAGGAATTAAGCCATCTTGATAACATTTGTTATTTATAGATGGTTGGCTAAAGAAACCATTACTTAAAATGAAGATTCTTCTGGTGGATTGTAGTAGTAGGATAACCAGACGATCTAGCCACTCTGTTTTTGTGAAATTCCTGCTTAATTTAGAGTACAGAAATATTAATAGGTTGATACAAATTTGATCAACATCCAAAAACCAGTAAAATTTTGAAAACTGACGCTAAAAAAGGCAGAGACTCTTAAACATTGCTTGAACAGGAAAAGATAAAGAATAAAGAACTATATATAAGCATAAAATTACGTAATAACAGAAAAAGTAACAGGGCCTAGAAGAACCAGAAGGTACTTGGCCACAACTATCATTGTAAAACCAACCACAGAACCATGGAAGTGCTTGATGAGTAAAATTTCAATGAGAATAAGGGAAGGCACCAAAATTTGGGGCTGAAAACTTTAATAACTTTTTTCTCTGATGATCGGGCTGCATATTTATTCAGAAAACATGTAAACAATGAATCAATATTAGCAATCAACAAAGGTTAGATCACAACACAGCCACAAAGTGTCAAGTTTCTAACTCAACACTCAAACTTTGTGGATAAAAAACCTATGAAACTTCAGAATCAGAAAATCCCCAAAATAGATAAATTTAAACAAAAACAAGAAATCAGTATCAAGTTTAAGCCTCGGATTTGGTGCCGAAGCAGAGAAAAAAGGGATGGTTCAAAAAACTGTTAATAACTTAATTTTATAATTATTGAGAGTCTACTATCAAGGTAAGGACCCAAATTTCTTGAGGGATGAGATTAAGCTAACATTTTGGGAAAATGGATGCAGTAACATATGACAGAAGAATCAATGTTCCTGTTTTATTGAAAGTTAGATTGATTCGTTAAAAGATAACTAATACATTATCAAAATCTACCATAAAACGAAAAAATGGGACCTTGGATTCCTCCTTAACTGGTGCAGCTTAGCAGGAGCAGTTTGGCCTCCACTTATGACTCCAACAGCCTTCCCAGGAAAGCTATAACAATATGCATAAAAGCATCAAATAAGCAAAACAAATATCAGTACAAACTAAAAGGTAGATGCACTAAAAGTTATATTACTTACCTGCTTGTCCTCATCAGAAAGAGTTGGCAAATCGACGCCAATTTGAGAAGCATGTAGAGTAAATAATGACCCAGCCAAGGTCGCAGAATTCTTTATCATGCAAACCACGTCCTCGCTTTTCACTTCATCCACCTGCCCCCAACCAAATCAAAACATCTTGTAACACAGCAAGAAGAACAAAATTATTTAGCTTTTTATATAACCTAATGGCTAATGTAAAACCAAATAATTAGTAGTTATGTCTGCTTGGTTTCCTACTTGACCAAGTAACCAGACCAACACATGGAATAGGAACAAGAAAGAAAAAACAAATCATGGCAGATTTCTCAATAAACTCAATAACAAATGAATAGACTTACATCGAGCGTTCACCTGTAAATCCATAGTAGAAGAAACCAAAAAAAGTTCACTCCTTCACATTTGAAGATAATTTTGTAGGATTTATATGCTAAGAATCGAACGACAGAATAAAAAAGCAATTTCCCTCATAAAGATAAAGATTCGAAAAAGTTACTAAATGTTCCTACATAGAGGTTTTTGTTGGTTTAGTGTTGTCCAATCTAAGTCCTTGTATCCTTTTTTTTTTCCATACCGTAGCCCCTAAATTTGACATTCATAGATCACAAGAACACATAAAAATGTAAAAACTACGCTCATAACATACTAATTTTCGAGTGACAGAATATGTTCAGTTCCCATTCTGAAATTGTCACCGTGTACGCTGAAACCCCTAAAAAATTGGGACTTTTCAAGTTTTAAACCCTTTAAATGAAATGGACGAATACATGAAACATAAATATATAAATAGAGACACGGAAACAGACCTCCGACAGTGAAATTAACAGCCAATAGAAGTGGCCAGAGGAACTTATAGCGGCGGCAAATGATTCTTCGGCTGAGGTGACGGTGTCGACGGAGGAGGAGGGGGAGTTATACAAGCACAGGGACACACGAGTCAGAACTTAATCGAGATTCGAGGAGAAGAGCTGAAGAAATAAAATAAATATTAATACAATAATACTTACAGCTTACTCAATAATCACGAGCCCGGAGATGGAGAGGACGCCGGAGGATGCTGGACGCCGTCGCGCAGGGTCGCAGGGAAGGGCTGAAGGTGGATGCGTGGTCATGTGGAGGCGGACTGGCGGAGCAGTGGAGGGAAGGGCTGAAGCCTAAAGGCGGAGGCATCGACTGTGGTCTGTGGAGGCAGAGCAGTGGAGGAAACGGCGCCAGGAGAGGGAAGTTGATTGTCGAGAGAGAAGAGAGCGCGAGAGAAAGTAGGGATAATCAGAATTTTATGTGTCTGAGGCGGTGGAAATGGTAGGCTTGTCTG